TTAACCGCTTCACGGTCGAGCCTACCAGCACACTCAGTATTCTCCACTGCCTTCTCCCATGCATCGAAAGTAAAATTGAAGTATTGGAGAGTAGCGAGGAAGAGCTTGTCAAGGAAGACGGGAGAGTTGCAGAAGAGGTTGACAGTTTCTTGGCGATAATGCTCGAGGAACACGGAACCTATCGAGGACTTGAGGAAAGTCCTGCGTCCCTCGAGAATCCCCGCCTCTCTCTCGACCAGAGCGTCGTCGGCAGCCTTCTCCAAGTCGGCCCGGAGCTGGTCAACCTTAGAAAGAGCAGCGGCTCTCTCAGTCTTCAGCTTGGCAACGAGAGCGTTAGCCGCTGCGAGGTCGTCATCTTTCTTTTTGAGCTCAAGAAGCAAATCCTCGTACTTCTTTTTGTATGTACGGACGTTGGAGTTGGGCGAGCTAGTGTCCTCAAGAAGAGAGGGCATGATGAACGCCATGAACTAAATAAGATCATGAGAAAATGGAGTTAAGAGCAAAATTAAAGCTTAAACAATATCGACCGACACCAAAGAAAAAAAAAAAACAATTACCCGAGAAAAACATAGCAGAGCACGACTGGCACGGTCATAAGGGTCACGATCGGCACGAGCTTTATCAGCAGCGGGAATGATGGAGTCAAAATATTTAGCAATCTCGTGGGGATGAGGATGGTCCCAAAGTCGAGAAGGGCTCTCGAGGGTAACGGTCTCGAGCTGGCCTGGAGGAGGAGCTTGCTCGACGGCCTTTTCCTTGTCTTTGGTCTTCTGACGCTTGAGCGAGTCAGGGACCAAAGTGAAGTCAACTGCGTCTTGAGCCCGCTTTCGGGGAAGCGAGCCCGAGGCCTTTTTCTGATTTCTCGAAGACGGGAGCTCGACTTTGAATTTCTTCGCGACAGTCGTCTCGACTGCCGTCTCCTTTGCGCCTGATCCCGAGCCGCCTTCGGGCTTCTTCGGAGGATCAGGTCGACCGGCGGATTTGCCATCATTTTTGGCTTTATTCTCAAAGCGAGCAAGAACAGAATCTGCGAACATAAATACCAAAGGCATCAACCATGTCGTCACAAATACTTCAAATAAAAATTGCAGACGAACTTATGAGGGTCGTCAAGGCAAGAAAGGTCCTCGTCGACAACAATACCAACATGATTAAGGAGAGAGCTTTCTTTGATCCACGGACGAGCTCTGTAAGTATGTTTATTATGTTCGGTTAACATTGACGCGAACTCGACAGACCGCTGTCGTTTATCTTGTTTCACTTTCTGGGTGATCCACTCGTTAGGGTAAGGGTATGTACCAGAGGCAGGACGAATAAAAACAAATTTCGATTTCCACCGGGTCACGTTCGAGAAAAGATCGTCGAGAAAAGTGACACCGGCTCGACGACCCAGACAATGGGCGTCTTTTATGAATCTATAGCTATAACAATAAAACAGAAACTCGGGAGAAAAATATCAAAGCTTTATTCTGGAAACAACGATGAAAGCAATCATAATGCGAATGGCGTTAGGAGAGAACTGATTTATTGGGACATTGTACAAATCGCTGATAGCATGGAGTTCGAGTTGAATCGGGAAGCGAAGACCGAACAACACTTGGTCGATAAAGAAGGTGTAAAAGCTAAGGGGAGGATTAGCGAAGTTGTCATTAGGTTTGGGGACGACCAGCTCCCAGTCGGCGGGAAGACCACTGAACACTCTAAAGCCCTCGACCTCGGCTGCAGAGGCATAACAAAAAGGATTTAAAACAGTTAACTTAGCTAATGGACAGGCTACAGATACAACATTTTGAACCTTGAGAAGAGGCACAATTAGGGGTAGAGAAGAAGGACTTGTTCTATACTCAGGTAAATCTAAGATCCTAAGGGGAATACCTCGAGGAATGAGGTCGAGACGAGGAGACCCTCTAGCACGGGAAGACTCGGGATCATCCGTCAAGACACCCAACATCCACGCTTGTCTATAAGCGTCTTGATCGATACCAAAGGAAGACATCCGAATGAGGAGAATTTTGTGATTGATCAGCTAGTTTGAAACTGACTACTTGCACAGAGTCGGACGATTAAGGACCTTCGTCGATCAAACGGCCAATAGTGTCGGGCGAGGAACCGGAATCAGAATCTAGAACGAAAAAGAAAAGAAAGTCAAGATCAGGAAAGGAGAATTTAGTATGAGGCAAGAACCAGCGCAATCGGCAATAGGCAAGTCGACTTAAGAAAGTCACTGCGAGTCGAGCCGAGGAAATAAGGAAGGGTAAATACCCGGCTCGCCCTAATCGTGAGCGAGAAGATATGGTATGTCGAAAAGAACCAAACCTAAATCAACCTAGAGGAGCGCAGATCGATTCTTGTTCCAAAAATCGATATGCAGCGAAGTAGGAGCCAAACAGAATTCCAAAAGAAAATTTAAGCGAAAAGGATCTAGCGGAAAACATATACGAAAATCTTGAAGAACACGAAGAACATCTAAGGGTTTTTAAAAAACTCAGAAAAAATCTAGAACATCACAAGAACGAAGAAAGAAAACCAACCAAAATGAGGAAAGCAGAATAACTTACACATGGTTGCTGCTGAAGAAGCCTTGAAAGGTTGAAGTCGCCGGAGAAGAGGGAACGCCGGTAAATCCGGAGATGCAGAAATCGTCGAAGAAGCTTGAGAGAGAAAAGAGAAAGAGATTCCGAAGATAAGGAACAGTGATTTGAAGCCAAACGAGAAGATATTTATACGAAAGGAAAGTGAACCCTGACCCTTGGATCGGATAAAGATCTGACGGTATGGGTAGGGCACAGAATTCGAAGCGGCAGAGTGGAAGTGACGCGAGGTGTCCAGATTCAAATTTCAAAATTTGAAAATACATTAGGCGGTCAAAATTATCCAGAAGATAATCATAAGATTATAACCACCTAGTGAGATGACGAGACGAGCTACGGAACGAAGTAAGGAAGGAATCATGACCTAGATCAGACAAAGATAGCAAGAATGGGTCGAGCACTGATGCTCAGAAAAATCAGTGTCGAGAAAGGGACAACGAGCAAAATCAATAGAGGTTCTCGACCACCAAATTTACTCTTAAGCTTTAAGCCGCTTAGAGTAATTTTTGGGGGGGACTAGATGATATAACCATATAAGGATATACCGGCCCAAAGGCTCTCTACTCGACTGACTAAATATTCAAACCGTTCACATGACGACGTACTCCCGTCTATATACTTAAGTCGACTTCCACACAGTCGACTCCTCGGCAAAACAGCTATGAGAAAAGGGCGAAACCCTGCTAAGTCGACTCCTCGAGGTCAACTTCCTTCAGTCAATTCCAGAAGTCGACTCCCACGCAAGAATAACCAAGCGTAGTCTCCGAAGCTTCATGCGATTACAAGTCGACCTCAGATCTCGAGGTCGACTTCTTATGCCTCGAGACCAAAAACGTGATGACGATACATCACACTTGCAACATACTTGAGGCTCTACATTCCTCAATAGATAAGAGGGAATCTTGTGATGACTCAGCAGCAAAGGGGAGACGAATCACCGGGGCATTCCAGACATTTCATGCAAGTCAACCAGGGCATTTTGGGTACTCCAAGTAAGTGTTTCCTCCTATATAAAGGAGGTGAGGTAACCCTAAACCCCAACTCTCTCATTCATTCTCCATTCTCCCTCATAGCTGCTGCGCAACCTCTCTTCATCACTCTTATACTGACTTGAGCGTCAGAGGCTCTACGCCGGAAACACCTCCGGCATTGAGTTTTTGCAGGTATTCTCGCGGTCTAACAACGGTTCGAAGGCGATTCAAACAGATCTGAGCTCTTTACCACCGGTTCACTCCAGATCTGAGAGTAGACCCATCAACGTGGTCGGGGGTCATCGGCTGAAACGATGACGGTGGCCTGCCCGGTAAACGACATCCCATCTGCTACTGCTCGCTGGAGGAAGCTCGAAACAGCTGCTGCTCGTCACGGCCAATTCTGCTGCTCTCGCCGGAAATTGGGCTCGAGGTCGCGGCGCTCTACTCGTGGTCGGACGATGTGGTTGTGAAAGTCGCGATCACCGGTCGTGCGCTGGTCTTCTCGCTGGGAATCGATGGCTTCAGTCGAGAAGGACGAAGCTCGCGGGGTTGTTGCTGCTCGTCTCTACCGAGAAGAGAGAGAGAGAGAGAGAGAGAGACGACGAAAAATCTTGAGGAGGAAGGAGATGAGGGGCGATTTGTTGGGCTTGGCCGCGACTGTGTAACACTGGCGGCTAGAGGAACAACGCGAGGGATTGAAAGAGACAGGATTTGAGATTTTTCTCCCGATCTCAAACTTATGGTGGCGTTTTGAATGATTTGAGGGCCTAGGGTTGCTAATAGTGGGTCATTTGGGCTAAAGATAATGGGTCAAAATTATGCTAAAATTGGCCCCTTTTGATAATGAAATTCCAATTGGTAAAGGGAGCCCAAAAGTCATGGGACGAAAACTTCACAACCAATCGGACTGACTTTAATAATCAAAGGGTCGGTTTATAAGCTCAAATGGACCGGAAAAATTTAAGACAATATAAATTCTAATGTCTGGATTCAAAATCTCGAAAATGGGCCGAAACGAGATAATAATGGTTTTACGCAATTAAGTCAAAAATCGCCTAAATAATTAAAAGTCTAATTCAAATAAATCCTAATAATTCTAAAACATATAATTAATAAATACACACATATCACATATATAAGCCTTATAAAAATTTTATATCAAGTAGACAAGACGGGCAATTAAAATCATATTCGGCAATTAAATAAAGTAAGGCAAATATTCAATATAAGCAAATAAATAATAATATAGAAATTCAGAAATTCTAATAAACGAACGGGGCGTTACATATGTAATGGCAATATGGTAATTATTTGAACATATCGTGGTCAAATACAAACATTTGACCACTTATTAAGGGTAATTCGGTCGTTTCATAAAAGTCCCACTAAGTCACTAACCTACCCACTTTAGTGAGTCCCACCCTAACCACCTACCATGCCCCTTATCTCTCACACGCAGGAACACACACTCCCTTGTTTACAATTCCCGCACGCAGTACACTCAAACATTCTCCGTCTGCCTCCAACCACCACCCGCACAGTCGCCAGCACAGACGCTCCCACTACCAATCTCGCCTCAGCCAGAGTTCGCCGTCGGAATCCTTTTGGCCGCCTCAGCCGTCGTCCTAAAAACCTGACATATTTTCCGGTAAAGGAAACTACCTCCAATCTCCATTTTTGCTGCCACTTCTCAGCCCGGGACAGGCGAACGTGATGGAATCGTATCTAGATCCTGAGACCAAATTCAGGGGTTATGGTATGTCGAAGAGGCTGAAACGGCGTCAGGAAAAAAGTCGGAGACAGGGAAGACCAGAGGTATACACGATCTCCTAATTGAATCCGCCGCCATAATCGTATCCAGGGGAATTGGTCATACAGATTCGGCCAAAAAACGATGGGGATGGTGATGATTTTATATTTTACATATTTGAATGTGCTGAGGCATGCATATGAGAAATTTATATGTCCAAGGGACTTAATTGCAATTTTTAAAATTTTATTAAATTTCAATTTAATCCCTCGCTCAAATGTATAATTTATAATAAATATAATAATGAACAATAATGATAAGGAAAGTGAGCAATATTGCGTGATAAATGCATATTATAACCAATTTTAAAAGTAAAATATATATAATCGAACTGCAATATAAAATTTTGAACCGAAAAATTTTAGTTCTATTTGTGTCGGTCGATATTGTGCAATTTGATAGTATTAATGTGCAATTTGTATAACAATAAAATCCACATTGTATTGAAATAACTAAGATTTAGTACAAACAAGTAATTGAACCGAAATATAAAAATTATCGAAAATTTTAATTTGGTCGGTTTCGATCTCTATTGTGCATTTCGATAGTCATTAATGTGCAATTCATATAACACGGTTGTGCATGTGCAGGGTAGATATTTATTAACGATTTGTTTCGAGCCAAACTAAAATCAAACTGAAATATTTGAATTATTCTATCGGTTAATCGAATTAATTTTATTTGAAATAATTTATAATTTATATTAGAAAAATGTTTTTAATATTTCAATATATTTATTTAAAATTTTATAAATGTTTTGTTTGAAGAAGCATACTATATAAAACATTGAAATTAAAATGTGCAATCTCTTATACATTAATGTGCCTTTGGTTTAAATTATCGTGCAGTCTATTGATTAAATATTTTTATGTGCATTTCAACTTTAGAATTTTTTTTAGTATGTACCTCAATCAACATTATTTTGCATTTGTTAAAATATTTATACAATTAAACTATATTTAGTATTTTTATTTTTAATTTTATATTTTATATTAATATTTGATGATAATAAATAATACATATAGATAAAATATAAAAATATTATTTTTTTATGTTGTTCGGTTGGTTCTATTATTTCAATTTTTTAACTAATGCTGAGACCGAACCAAAATAACTGAAATTTTACTATATGTATATGTGAATATGCACATTGATATGCTAATGCGCATTCACGAACACAATAATGTGCATTTAGTCTCACACTATTATGCAGTATGCTAGTCACTAATGTGCGTGCATTCTGCAGCATAGATTGTTATATGCGAAAATCCAAAGTAAAATCGAAATAAAATAATCAATTTATTCAATTAGTGAATTGACCTAACTAATCGAAATAATTTTTTATTTATACTATAAAATTTATTATTATTTCAATATTTATAATTTATTATTTTATATTATTTTAATATTATATTATTTTTAATTTGGCATTTTTATTTATTATTATAATATATATGTATAAAAAGTATTAAAAACAATATTTTTTTTGCTAAATTTTTAAAATTATAGATTGGGTTGTGGACTAAATTGAAATGAAAACTATTTGCAGTTAGGTCCTTGAAAATTATTAAATTTCCATATCTAAACCACAAATTATCAAAATCAGATCATTTCTCCATTGAGATGGCGGGGTGATTGCTTTTTCGAGCCTCGGCGGACGTCGATGGCAGTACAGGAGGAGATGGCCGCCTCGCTGGACTGAAGAACGGATATGGCCGCCTTCGGGTGTGGCGACAACCTCAGGACCTTCGGTGGCGAGCACCTCAGGACCTTCGGGTCTGGCGACGACCTCCAACCCCTTTGGGAAATGGCAGTCTTGATGGCCTGGGGAGCTCAAGAACCGTATCTAGGAGGAACTTAATCCCTTAAATATGGGAATGTATATCATCAAGGACACTGGAGATATTGGAATATTCTACTAATAAAAATGGGAGATATAGAAAGACTTCTTACCATACTAGGAGTCTCTTGGCCCACAAACAATCCTAACTATAAAACGGTATCCAAGTTCTTTTTTTTACACAACACACATACATGCGCAAAATACCTTATTGCTACATTATTGCTGAACGTGAACTGACATGGGCGTCGGAGTGTTTCCTATCAAGACTCCTCTCAGTTTTTGCAGGTCATCAGAGACGTCAGGACGGTTCAAATAAGTGGATTGCGGTTCAAACTGGATCAGAGGATAATTTGTGTAATATGCACTGTCTTTAGGATAATCCAGTCTTTTACTGGCTATAAGAGGCTGATTTTTTTCTCAAAAAAAAAAATCATGGTAGGAGATAATTATAAGAAAAACTTAATAAAAGTGAAGGATGCAACATGGACAAAGATGGTATTTGGATCAGGTACTCCACCGGGATGGTCTAAATCGACCACCCTCACACCGAGGGAGACATTGCCAGCACTCGGCACGGCACTAACACCGTTGTCTGGTATCCCTGGAGAACCTCCACTAGAGCACGCAAAGGAGACGAACTATGGCGAACGGGTGGCCAAAAGAATAAGGGACAGAAGGTTGGCGGCAAGTTTAACAAAGAAATAAACAGGCAGGTCGACATAGGCCCCAGCCGACCTCAGGAACAAGTGGATCACCGAGGCAGATTGTCTCTTTGGGAGGACAGAACCCACCAAGAGGTGACCAACCTCTCCCAGCTCCCAGGGAAGACCAAGTTCTTCATCTGACCAGAGCAGAGTTAGATAGGATCATAGCCAAAGTTGTGCGCCGAGCTCAGGAGACAGATCGAAGAGCTCCACATGGGCCCCAATGACAGATACTGCCTAGCAACAACCGTCGCTTCAGCACCAACCTCAGCGTCAGGAACGGTCAGATGAGGACGAAGCAAGGACGGTCACATCTAAAACCGCTATGTCGCAGCCATCTAGAGACCTAACACTTCAAAGGCTAGCTGCGCAGATGCGCGAGCTACAGGCCTGACTCCAGGGTAGGTCGACACCTCAGTCCCGTGGACATCCATTTTTAGGTGAGGTCTTGGAAGTGGACTTACCTAGCAATTTTAGAGAATTGAGTCTATCTTACGACGGCTCGACAAACTCTACAAGACATCTAAGGTTGTTCGATAATATAGTTGTGCTGCATAGGTACAGTGATGTTGTTAGTTGCCGAGCTTTCTTAACAACTTTGAAGGGATTGGGCGCAAGATTGGTTTCACCAGTTACCTGTTGCCTTGGTCCAAAACTTTGAGAGGGTTAACGCTTTGTTCATGAACCAGTTCGTGAGTGCCAAGAAGCATGAGAAACCATACCTCTAGCTAATCAACATGCAGCAGAAGGAGGGTGAGACCTTACGTCAGTACGTGTCAGGATATACGAATGAGCGTGTGGAGGTTCCTTCAGCGTCGGAAGAAATCAAGGCTGGAGGTCTCATGCGAGGACTCAGACCTAGGAAGTATAGGGATTCATTGGAAAAAAGGCTAGCGAGGTTTTTTGATGAGCTCCTAGAAAGGTGTAACAAGTATGTGAACATGGAGGAAGCAGAAGTTGATTTTCTCCAACATGATAAGGCCGAGGCAATAAAGGTGGAAGATAAACCTTGTTAAAATGATCACAGAGCACCGCAAAAGGTGGAAGCCTTCTACCTAGGCCATAGAATGTGGCGCACTGAAGAAGTATCATGCTTGATCGGACCAGGTTTTAGTTATTCATTTTTTTGTTTTTTCTTTTTTTGCTATCATCTATGTCCAGATGTTTATTTTTGAAGAATATTTTGCCTATAACTAAAGGTTACTATTATATTTTATTTTCTTTTGAATTTTGTGATGTATTGGTATTTTCAACAAAGAGAGCTCGACACGGCGCTGCCTGAGCTCGCGGAGCTCGAGAGCGAGTCCTCCAACTCGTAGCCAACCAAGTTGAAAGAGCTCTTCGTGGCGGTGCCCGAGCTCACAGAGCTAGAGAAAGAGTCCTCCTATTCGTAGCCAACCAAGTTGAGAGAGCTCGTCGTGGCGTTTCTCGAGTTCGCGGAGCTCGGCAGCGGGTCTTCAGACTCATAGCCAATCTAAGGCGTAAGCCTGTCGTGGTGTTGCCCGAGCTCGCGGAGCTCAGCAGCGGGTCTTCGGAGTCATAGCCAATCAAGGGCGCAAGCCTGTCCTGGCATTGCCCAAGCTCGTGGAGCTCAGCAGCGGGTCTTCGTACTCGTACCAATCTAGGGCGCAAGCCTGTCATGGCGTTGCCTGAGTTTGCGGAGCTTGACAGCAGGTCTTCAAACTTGTAGCCAAACTAGGACACAAGCCTGTCATAGCGTTGCCCAAGTTCACGAAGCTCGGCAACAGGTTTTCAAACTCATAGCCAATCTAGGGTGCAAGCCTATCATGGCGTTGCCCGAGTTCGTGGAGCTCAACAGAAGGTCTTTGGACTCGTAGCCAATCTAGGTCGCAAGTCTGTCATGGCGTTTCCCGAGTTCGTAAAGCTCGACAGCAGGTCTTCAGACTCGTAGCCAATCTAGGGCACAAGCCTGTCGTGGCGTTGCCTGCGGAGCTCGACAGTGTGTCTTCGGACTCGTAGCCAATCTAGGGCGCAAGCCTGTCGTGGCATTTCATGAACTCGTGAAGCTCGGCAGTGGGTCTTCGGACTCGTAGCCAATCTTGTACGCAAGCCTGTCGTGGCATTGCCCGAGCTCGCGGAGCTCGGCAGCGGGTCTTAGGACTCATAGCCTATCTAGGGTGCAATTCTGTCATGGCGTTGCCCAAGTTCATGGAGCTCAAAAGCAGGTCTTTTGATTCGTTGCCAATCGAAGTTTGGAGAGCTCGTCGTGGTGGTGTCACAGCTCGTAGAGCTCGTGAGCGAGTCCTCAAACCAATAGTTAATCTGAGTTTGAAGAGCTTGTCGTGGTGATGACAGAGCTCGCGGAGCTTGGGAGTGAGTCCTCGGATTTGTTGCAGACTTAATTTGGGAGCTCGCCGGGGAGATTGTCGAGCTTTCGAGTAAGGCAGCAACGCGGTAGCAGAGCTATTTAAAATTGAGGTCGACGATCAACGGTGATTGCTGCTCGACAGTGGACTGTACCTCTTTCGGCTTGGAGGTCAGGTCGGTGGCCACCGTACTAAACAAGGCCCATGTAAAACAAAAAAAAGAGTTCAAATATCTGAGCTCGAATAAGCATAGCAATTTACAAATTGTGTAGTGCTTATCTATATCAGTTATAGGATTGGTCGAGCAGATAGAGAGCTTGAGATGTAAAAGGAGATGCAAGTCGGAGGTCTTTTTTACCACGTTGAGGGGTTCCCAATTCCACTGGGCCATAAGGCCGTAGTACTCAATGCAAGGTTTGGGACTTATTCATTGGCCATGGTGCTCTTGCAGCCACTCAAGGGAGAATTCAAAAGTGTTCGGTGAAGGTTGGAGGCTTTTCAGTTGTGGACCTAGGATAGTTGGCATTTCATAAACCTTGCATCATTACGGCCGGGAAGGCAATATGAGACTTTCTGGTGTTTCATCCAGAAACAATAGAAGTAGAGGTCAGGGTCGAGCCTACCTAGTAGAGCCCGACACAACATGATGAAACCGACTAGAAGTCGGATAGAGTTGAGAGAATGTTGATTTAACAGATTCAGTGAACATTCTTGAACAAGTTGTGGCAGCTCGTTCGAAGAATGAAGGGGTAGATGATATAGCAAGTTAGAGTACGTCGCACGGACTGTTGGAACCTTGCTCAACATGGGTCGATGGTGAGACATGTAGGTCGTTACAATTGAAATCATGTCGATGACCTCAATATACTTGGGGTAGGTTGGTTCACAGGACAGCGCGACGACCTCAGGACCTTCGGGTCCGGTGACGACCTCAGGACATTCAGTGGCGACAACCTCAGGACCTTCGGGTCTGGCAATGACCTCAGGACCTTTGGGATGGCGACGACCTCAAGACCTTCAGTGGGACGACCCAAGCAGCTTCGGGTCTGGCGACGACCTCTAATCCCTTTGGGGAATGGCGGTCTTGATGGCCTGGGGAGCTCAAGAGCTGTATCTAGGAGGAAATGAATCCCTTTAATATGGTAAATGTATATCATCAAGGATACTGGAGATATTGGAAGATTCTACTAATGAAGAGGGGAGATACGGGAAGGCTTCTTACCATACTAGGAGTCTCTTGTCCTACAAACAACCCTAACTATAAAACGTTATCCAGGTTCTTATTTTTACACAACACACATACACGCACAAAATACCTTATTGCTACGTCGTTGCTGAACGTGAACTGACTTTGGCGTTGGAGTGTTCTCGCCCGAACCCCTTCCGGCGTTTTGGAGGTCATTGGAGACGTCAAGATGGTTCAAATCAGTGGATTGCAGTTCAAACCGGATCATAGGATAATTTGCGCAACATACTGTCTCTTAATGATGTTGTACTTCTTTCGCTTTTGTTGTCGTGAGCTTGTCGCACATCCATGTTGGCTCCAGGTTTTCAAAACTTACTTTTATGAAAATATGAGTAAGAAAAGCTTATTATTTTATAATCAAAGTTAATAAATGCCTATAAGTTGCTAATGAAATAGCTAATGAACACGGAGATTTATAAGTTATAAATATAGAAGAGATGAGAAAACGAGAATTATGTGAAAAATGAGTAGGATGACGTACTAACACAACAATGGGACAAAAGATGAGAAAATCCCCAAATTCTCAAAAAACCTAGGACCAAAATCGCCGAGTTGATGTAGCCTCCTCACCGGAGCGTGGGCCACTCTCAGCGGCGCGGATCGGCATCTGTCAATCCCCTGTCGGTCTGGAACCCGGCGGGCGGTGGTCGCTATTATTCGAGTGGGTTGCTTCCTTCTCGGATGCCATGTCGAGGAAATTGTGCGGTTGATGATTTTTTCGGGGGTGCGGTGGGTTGGGCCGGAGGTCGTGCTCGGCTTTTGATGTGAGGCTGACCCTCGAACTTCCTGTTTTCGGCGGTCCTTGGTGCTTGGTCGCTGGAACTATCCGGCCGGTGGTAATTCCTAGAGCTGCGACGGGTGGGGAACTTGTGTGGAAGGTTGTGGGTTGGGGTCTTCGGGGGCTCGATGGTGGTGGACTAAGGTGGCATCGCGTCTGTCGGGCTGGTCTGGTTTAGCCATTGGTTGGAGTTTCCAATCTAGGCCGTGGGAGGCGTAGATTTCCTTGTTGGTTCATTGCCTAGGTGTCAATTTGCGCCGTGATGGTTCGTTGCTCGTTGCGCCTGATGGGATCATGGATGGTGACGAGGACGAACCAGAGGAAGAGGAAACAAGGCGCTACGTCAAGGAGGACTTGGAAATTTCGGTCAATGCAATGTCGGGAGTGCACGGGCCGAGAACCATTAAGTTGCCCGCCTCGGTCCGAGGACGATCTATCGAGGTGCTAGTCGATACCAGGTCATCCCACAATTTTATTAGTGCCATATTATCGTATTAGCAACTTATCGCTTCGAGACCAAGGCGTCGGCGCGGGTTTCACGGCAAATCGAGTTGAGCGAATACACGATCTGGACTGGTTTTCTATTCTCACCCCACGCCGCGACAGCCCGCAGCCCCGTGCTGTGCCAGCGCCTCGACCAGGACTGAGGACGTGCACCAGACCTCCTGCCGCGCCGCGCCCGAGCCTCCCGCACCGTGGCATATGACATATATATATATTCGATCGGGCTCGACACGGGGGATTATCTCTCGACTCCAGAACATAAAAACCCTACCCTCTCGTCTCTTTTCTCTCGTTTTTCATCTTCCTCTCATATTTTTCATCATAGAACACGAATTTGAACTCGGATTTCACTATTGCTTTCGAATTAAGCTTGTTTATCGTATTCAACCTTGGGATTTCATCACTCGTAAGATTTTCTTTTCATTTGATCTATGAATATGTTTGTCTTGATTATTGAGATTGTTGGTGTTGAATCGATTATGATTGGCTAAATCCATATGCTAGGAATAGGGGATTGATGTTTTGATACCATTTGTGATTGTTGGGCTCGGGATTGTTCAATTTCATACGAGTTGATCTTTTTCTAGGGTTTTTCAATTGTCGGGCTCGAGTATTTAGAATTGTTGAAGGGTGACACTTCAATCACCAATTGTTTGCAATTGAGTTCGATTTATTCTTGCTTGATGTTGATTATTCTATACGGACTAGTTGATTAAACACTTTCTAGTCTACTTTAATCGACTCTTAGAATCGAAAGGGGAGGAGTCGGTCGAAATAGGCTCGTATGAATTATGCATGTTCGTAATTGTATTGCCTAGAAGTTAAATAAATTGTTAATTTGCCGTTCTAGTTTGTTCTCTTGTTACGAAAAGTTATTGAGAATGAGTGCTTGAACGTGTCGATTAGTCAAATCACTTAACCGAACAATCTCTTGCTTGACAATTACATTTTCGAACGAAAACGGATATCCCCGACTCCCTAGCTCCTTAAAATCCTACTTGTTCTTCGTCGTTGCTTGCTATTTCTATTTGCTTTATTTGAAGTTTTCTTCTTCGTAGTTAATAATCAAACCAAATCATCGGAATAGAATGTTTAGGAATTTTTATTTTCTTTTGTGTGGTTGAATAAACGTGCATAATAATCCGGCTAACCTTCCTCGAGAGACACGACCCGGTGTTCGAATATTTTAATTCTACTCTGGAAAAATATTTACAACATATTCTCCTTGTGGGGACTTTGTATTATCCCGTTGGGGATTGGGTAATCTCCCAGTGGGGGGTGTGTTTCTCGTTTGTTTTTTGTGCTTTCCTTTTGTGTTCTCTAGGCTACCACTCGTTGCTATTCAGTAGACCTCTCATTTCTGGCTAGTGAGTCGAGTGTAATTATATGTTTATTGTTATAAAATCTATCATTTTTTTTTTATCAGAATGATAGATTTTATATCACGAGAAAAAGTTGTACACACAGGGAAGCAAACTACGAAACGGCAGAAATAGAGAGTCACTAACAATAGTGATCTTGAAGGGAAAGAAACACAAACTGCACATAGAGTACGAAGTCGGCATAGACTGAAGCTACAACACCCGGTCCTTTCTCTTCTGCAGCTGTACTATGCAAGACTAGTACAAGGCAAAAGATAAAGCTGCCACTGATCAAATGAGCCTAACAACTCCATCACTAAAAAATAGAAAATCCACTAACAAGCTAAGCTAAAATAACAAACCAAACCACTAACACATGGTGAACTCAAGCCAAGAGGAAGAAGCAGCTTGGGCAATGGAGTCCTCAGACATCCAGAAATTCTAGAAGACCCACAAATTCCTGGCTTTCCAGAGCCACCAAAGAACATAAACTGTGAGAGTAAGGCTTTGGTCCAAGCAAGGAATGTGTCTGATGCTGCAGAGCCTGGTCCACGAATGTTTAAAGCTAAATGAGTCACAATCAAACTCATCCCAAGAGACAGCCGCCAGCTTCCAGACTTTCTTGGCCTTGTTGCGGTGGAACAAGGTGTGCTCAAGGGTCTCCACTATAGCTCCATATGATTTGCAAATAGGGTCAATGCTTTTAAGCCTCAAGAGGAGCTGTTGGTTGACAGTTAGAGTGTTACTGAAGCACTTCCAGATAAAATGTTTAAGTTTTCCGGCAATTTTGAGAGCCCAGATCTTTTTTTCTTGTTGATTTGATACTCAAATCTAGCGTTTTTNAAAGGAGGAAGTGTTTATTAGTGATAATTGGCAAATGAATTTAGTAAATTCGGGTAATCGATCGATCGTTCAACGGCTACTATAGTCTATCGCCACTTGTGGCCATTATACAGGCCAAATTTGAATTAGAATTGAAAACCCAAGGTCAATTAAATTCTACGAGCCAGTCAACGGGCCGAGACCGCTTGGGGTGGCCTTAGAGCATCCACAATGCTTTTGGTTCAATCACAAAAAATTGTATGCCACTTAAGAAATAGACACAGTTTAAAAATATATTCTCCAATGCAAACAAAGTAGACTGGGTCCTGCTAATGTGGCAGCCAGAAAAAGAGACTCGTCTACCCTTAAGTCTATTTTAGACCCATTGGAATGGATTTTATCAATTTTACATAGTTCTATTCATATCATCCAAAAGTTGAATTTATTTATATGTCACACATGTAAGATTAGACCCAATTCATTGTAGATGTTGTTATGCTGTAAATGTAAACTAGTGTTGATATCCGTGCGATGCACGAGATGTAATACAAAAAATATTTTTATTTAAATATTATAAAATCATTTAAGACTATGAAATTATATTCTCCACAATATTCTATTAAGTAATAATGTGACATTTATTTATTTACTATTATTGTTATTTTCTATTTATATATATATATATATTAGTTTTTAACTATTTATTATATAAATTTTATTATTTATAAGTTTATAAAATATTATAAATGTATAAGATCATATGATATTTGCATACAAATTACTTGTATGTACTTATAAAATTGTCGTTTATCATAGTATTATTATTTTTTCAACAATTCATAATTTGCACATTGTTTGATAATTGACCAACGTTTAACTCATAATATTTATCTTATGCTATAATTATTAAGTGCATTAAATGTTAAAAACTTTGATAAATAAATTTTAATTTGTAGTAACTTTAATCCTTATGCAACACACAAATTTTTTATGGTTATATATTTTATTTTATGTTTTTATTTTTTATTTATATTTATTTTTTTAATTTATTTTCAACCTATATAATGAGTTACTTAGTATCTATTCGAATATTTAGATATATTATATATTTCCATTATTACCAAGTGTTATAATTTAAATTATTATACATTATTTTCTTGTTAACTTATTTTTCATTTATAAAATAGTATATAAGAAAAATATATCTATTTAAAAATTGAATAGTTTCTTAATGTACATAGATCCTTCAAAGGTGAAGAGCATATTTGTTTATAAAAAATTCTGGTTTGTTGGGATTTGTTGATTTGGTTTAGTTAATTTTGAAAAATGTGGTATGATTAGTTGTTAGTGGGTATATTAAAATAATATTTAAAATAAAATAATTAAAATTGATTTAATAAAAAAGTAGGAGAGAGATAATTTGAAGTGATGGTTAGTTAAAAGAATGTGAGTGGATGAATAGTGAACTGAGGTTGATGTGGTGTGTATGAATGATTGATTGATATTATCTATACTTATATAATAAGAATTAACATTTATCAAAATTAGTAACTTAATTAATGGTCAAAGTCAGTTTTGCATTAATTACTTTCCAAAATCGGTAACTTTTATGTCTTTTTCACACTTCTCATTAATTATGTCCTTTTTACACTTCTAATTAATTATGTCATTTTCACACTTCTCATTAATTATGTCCTTTTCACACATTTAATTAATTCATTAATTACGACATAATTATCATAAATCATTCTATCTGAGCTTTTATCGTTAAAATGTATAGCGATATGTTATGACCTTATCCCATTGATATTTCCACGAAGTGTCCTTATCGCGTTCTATTTTTTGGTAACCACTCTATATCAATAACCGGATATTTGGTTAATGATAACACACGTCTTTATTTCAAGGAGCGGATATTCTTTGACTTTTAATTAATCTGAACTGATTGTCTTGACTTTTCAATTTTAAAAAACTCTTTTGTTAAATATTTCGGCTTAAGATTCAGATTTCACTATACAAGTCATCAGATTGTTTGAATGAAAATGAATGAAAAGAACACAAAAAACAGGTAGCCTTATTCATATAACCAATCCTAAAATATTAGTTTGTTCACCAAAAAGAGACAAATCCTAGAAATCCTAAAATATTAGTTTGTTCACTAAAAATATTAGTTTGATTTTTAGGATTTGTCTCTTTTAAAAATATTAGTTTATGATAATGAGGAGTTACCAAATAATCAAACTCATAATGTTGTGTACAAGGAGGTTTTTAACAATATATGATTGTTACCGAACTTTTTATGATTCAACAATGTTCCTATGTATTTTAATGATTTCAATTTCGACGTGAGGTTATATTATTCTTCTAAATTTTACATCTCGTGCATCGCACGGGTTACGTACTAGTTTAATTATATTGATAATATTAATGATAGTGGGGTTGGGTTAAAGTTGAGTAAAAAAAGTGGTTGAGTTAAAATATAAGAAATTTTGTAGAAAATTTTCATATACAAACATGCCCGAAATTTATAATTTTGAATTGTACTAGACCATCAGATTTTATTTTTATTAGTATATTATTTAAATTTTCAATAGTACTATCACTGCATATTCAATGGGGATGTGCATTTTTATAGTTAAATTGACTACATTTTTAGAAACTTTTATTAATATTTTAAATTATTTATTAAGTTATTATGATTTAAACATAGTTATTCTGATTATTTTATTAAGTTTTTTAAATATTTCTGAATATCGAATGTAATTAATTAAACTATTACCTACAACCATAGATGATAATATATTTAATCAAATCAATTTCCATAATAATTTGTGAATTATGTTAATAAACTACTATTAAATTAATATAAGATCTTATTGAGAAAATATCTAATAAATCTATTGTCAAAATTTTAATTTAAGCCAATTTTTAGTTAATGAGTAATATTTATTGAATGTATAAAAATTAATTTTATTTTTTCATGCATTAGATTAGCTAATAAATAAATATTAATTAAATACCAAATATAGATGAAAAAATTTTCCGCTCAAAATTATATCAAGTATGACAATAAGGATTGGTCCATTATATAGATATAGATATAGATTTCTTAAAATAAAATAGAAAAAAAAAAAAGAGATTTGTAAAGAGCGGTGGGCCCACCTTGGTATTTAAATTACATTACGATGTTACATGTACCATGTTGTTTAGTTAGCCTTTGTATGTGGCCCACCAGGTTATACACTAACCGAATCAGCAATCGACAACGCATATGTCCTTTTTGGTGCATCTAACATATTCATAAATTCATTCACCACAAACACAAAGAAGGCAAAAACAGAACCTTTGGTTTGACAAACCAAATAAACACTCACCTTCGAACAACACTGAAAATGGAAATCACTCCATAAAAACACAACACGTCCTTCTTCTTTTCATTCCCAATTTAATTAATGGCTCCCGAGTGAGAGCGCTATATATATAAATGCAAGGATTTATTTAGGGTTTATCGAGCTTGAAAAAAAAAAAAAAAAACNTAAGAAGAAATTAAAGAATCAAGATATGGGGCGAGGTAAGGTTGAATTGAAGAGGATAGAAAATAAGATAAGCAGGCAAGTGACTTTTTCTAAGAGGAGATCAGGTCTGCTTAAAAAGGCTAATGAGATCTCAGTTATGTGTGATGCTGAGGTTGCTTTGATTGTTTTCTCTAACAAAGGGAAGCTCTTTGACTACTCTTCTGAGTCCAGGTATATGTCTATTTGCCTTCCCTTCTTTTATATAATCCTTTTTCGAAGATTTATATTTTTACCATCGGATAATACATAATTTTTTTTAAAGAAAAAAAATTCCCGTATATTTGTTCATAAAACTTTATTTGTAAAAAAAATAAAAAAAAAAATTAAGATATTTTCTCAAGTTTTTTATTAGTTTGCAAATAGTTACTAGTAAAGAGATGCTCTATATTACTATATTTTGTTTTTTGCGATCCAATTGCTATGATTATAGCACCCATATTATAATCACATATACCGAATTATTAGCAGTTTTATTTTCTTTTTCTTTCTTTTTTTAGCAGTTTCATCATAGTAGAAATACACAAATATAAACATATAGAGTGTATGAATATATACTTTGATCACAATATATCTTTTGCCCGACGACTGTGTTGTTTGTTTGATTTTGTCAAGTTTGTTTTTCACCTCGACGAGCACAGTAGACAGGATATTAATCTGCATTCCAATTCTTTTAATTTTAAATTAATTTTCTCCAAAGCAGTTTCAAAGTCAATGATGATACGGTTGAATATAATGAGATACTTAATTAGTAGTATGTGTGTGCGTGTGTGTGTGTTTTTTTTNGCACCACAAAAACCTCAAATTTGAGAGCCAATATAATTAATATTCCAACATTTTGCATTAAATATTATTTTAGCTTTCTCAGTAATTTTAGACACATTCGTCATACAGGATAGTACAATCTCATCTTTATACTATCATCAAGTGGTTGTTTCGTTACTTTTATTTTTAAATTGTTTGTTTTCTCCATGATTCTGAAAATCGAGCGGGTTTGTTTTCTCTATGGTTCTGAAAATTGAGTTGGTCATCGAATCGGTGAAGCTACCGGTTCACTGGTTTAAACCAGTGGTCGAACCGGTTTAATTAATATCTAATTTTTTATTTATATTATATATATAACATATAATTATAAATATTTTTATAACTAATTTTATAGTGTATGACATCTCTCTAAATAATAGCTCAATAATAGATACAAGCGATAAAATTGATTAATGTTGATATTTTTTTTATTTTATTTTTATATTTAAAATTTTAATTTATATTTAAGTTACAAAATAACATTTTAAATTTTTTACTATTGATTCAATAAATAAAAATTAAAAAATAATGTACACAACAAACAACAATAATTTGTTTATTTCTTTTTAATTAAATTGGTATAGATATAGCCTGATCGATAGTTTATTTTAATAAACAATACATTTTTTCTTAATGAGTACAATTTTTCTTGTAAGGCCCAATTGGTCCAATAATTTCAGCAATGGAACATATCTCAAATTGAAAACACAAGTAAAAAAAGATGTGCTATTTAAATCACTTCACAATAAACGAATTTCAAATTCAAAAGCTTGAATCGTTGAACAATTCGAATTGATCCCGGTTCAACCAGTTTTGGACCGGTTCGGATGATTTTTGACCAGTTCTGTTGGACGTTTTAATGCAGCAAACCGGATCGGAATGAAGGCCGGTTCCCTCCGATTAAAGGGGAAATACCTTATATGTATTCTTGTTTGATCATATGCTTAATATGTGAATCCCTATAGTCTGGCTTTGGGAATTGGGAACCTAAATGAATCATGTGGGTGAGGAATGAGGACCAAAAATAGTTTTAGGATATATTCCTAAGCACTTTTATGTTCTTCACACAATTTGTTCACACAAGTATTTTTCCAAGTTATATATGTAGGATTCCAATTTCAGAGATATATAAAAGGAGAGTTCTTCAAATATATCAATGAGGGAAAATGATAATATACTAATCATTATGCATGCTCGTGTCATTTATTTGTTTTGCTCAAAATAAATGAAGGCTACCTGATTAATAAAATTAAGTTTTGCTGCTAGGTAGACCTATCAATTCCTAATAATTTGGCGGCCTCACATAAAACATTGTGAAAATAGTAAATTCAGAATGAAAGTAGAAAATGAAATGATTTCAATTTCATTATTCCATCATTTTTTTAGTGAATTCAAAATGAAAGTGGAAGATTTCTATTTCATTACTCCACCCATTGTTTTCTTGAATGGATACATCCTAATTGAGTTTATGTAATAAATGTTGATGTTATCTAAGAGTTTGAGCTTTATTTTGTAGCATGGAACAAATTATAGAAAAGTACGAAAGATATTCGTACGCAGAGAAAAATCTTACAACGGACTCTCTGCAGCCCAAGGTACCTTCTAGAACACCTTAAGAGAAATTGCAAAAATTTTCATTAAATTCACCTCATTTGCCAAAATGATCGCATTTTTACATTGGTACAAATAATTACAGTATTAAAATCTAATTTAATTTTTACAACATAGGTCTAAATATATATATACTAGCATTTTCATAAATTGACCACTTTTTTAATGGAACTTAAAAGCATCATGGGCCAATAACTCTACCAATTTTTATTGATTAATTCTTGTTTTAAACAATATAGTTCTGTTGATCTAGCATCATAAAAGTTGTGCATACGTCATGTTTTTAATATATGAAGAAGCACGTATAACGAAATGACAATACAAGTCAGAGAGATTAATTTGTTTTGTTTGGTTCTATCTATAATAGGATTTGTTTGTTAGGAAGAACACTTTATTCATACTCTCCATACATAAAAAGATCTTGAGTATAGTGAATTTTTTAGGATAATTGGTGTGTTGACAACCGGAAGCTCTTGGCTCGCATTGAAGCTTTAGAAAGAACTATACGGTAAGAGTCGTTTCATGTATTTTTGAACAAATAAGCAACACTTTAGTGAATTTTGGAGAAAAATGAGGAGTCTTGTAGGAATTATGAGGGAGAAGATTTGATTCCTCTTAGCTTGAGAGAGCTTCAGAGTTTGCAACACCAGATAGACACAGCCTTGAGGCGAATCCGAACAAGGAAGGTAATAACTTTTTAATAAATTAATTAAAGCTTCATGTACATATATTTCAAACAACATTTTGGTGCATAAGCAATACTTGTCAACAAGGGAAAAATTACAGATAACTAAGTTGGGCGTTGTCAACAAAAATTACAAAAATGATACACTAAGTTGGGCGTTGTCAACAAAAGAGACAATTTGTTGTCTCTCACGGAAAAGATACACTTAGTTGGTTTTTTGCACGAAAAAGATACAAATTTACAAAAATGGTACAATAAGTCGGACATAAGCAATCCAAAGTCAGGCATAAATGATACACTTAGTGTATCATTTTTGTAAATTTGTATCTTTTTCGTGCAAAAAGCCAACTAAGTGTATTTTTTCCGTAAGGGACAACAAATTATCTCTTTTGTTGACAACGCCCAACTTAGTGTATCATTTTTATAAATTTGCCCAACAAGCGTCAAAATATTGCAATTCTTTCTTTTAACTACAAAACTATGTGCAGAATCAACTTATGGTGGAGGCAATTTCTCAGCTCCAGAAAAAGGTATCAATCACACTGAATTAGTTACTAAATTAATCTGTAACTGTTTATAATTAATTCTGGAAACTGCAAGAGGGATTCATTTGTATTGTCATATTGTTAGTGAGAGGATTTTCAGTTGTTATGATGTGACATTAGCAAATTAAATACTTGGGCAGTAATTCATTTTGTTTGATTGAACAGGAGAAATCACTGCAGGAGCAGAACAATTTGTTAGCTAAGAAGGTGATGAATCATTCTTATCATAACCATTAACATTACATAAACATAATAATAATTATGCTTATGTAAAATATAAATAATAAAACTTAATTGCAGCTCAAATTAAGGGAAAAAGATGAAATAGGAGAAAGTTCCCATGCAGCAAATAGTATGTTGAACTTTGGGTTGAGCGGTGGGACCCAGGAGCAGCCCAATGGTCCGGTGACTGACATACCACCGTGGCTTCGAAATTTTTAGTTATGCAAAATCATGTCTATGGCCATTAGAATATTGAACGTTTGTATGATGCATGCATTAAAATATTGGCAACTCAAAGATCATATCATTGGTGAAAATCACCAACATATATAGTTATCTCAATGGAATTAAACTTCTGTTTCTGCGAAGCCTAACCTAATTCATGACTATATATGGTTTCAAATAAAAGTCTGTTTTAGAATCCGTTTGATCGAGAGATTAGGAGTTTATATATTAATTTATCCTCAATCGCCTACGTAAAAAGTGGGAAAATAATTTAAATAGTCCACGCTAGTAATTTGATTTATTTTACAGAAAAGTATTTGCTATATTGGTCTATCATTAATTTTGGTCCATCATTAATGATATTTTTGTCACAAACTAGTATCTTCATCTCATGCACGCAACAAAAATAATATATAACATTAAAAAAAATGCATTTTTTTATATTTTATGTTGAATATTTTATTTGTAATTATAAAATTAATTTAAATTGTGTTTTGCATCTTGATTCATGTAATTGATATAATATATACTCCGTTTCTCGACTCTGTTAATTTGGTCTAGTCAGTCACTTGTTGACTGAAAATCTTTTAATTAAGAGCATTTCCAACCGAAAAACTCATTTTCAAACCCATTTTGTAGTAATTGTCGCATCAAACAGTAATTCATCTCCAACCGAAAAACTCATTTTCAAACTCAAAAGAATATTCTCGAATATTTTTTTCTCATCAACTTTTACAACTTTTCAATACTACTCAAATATTTTACAACTTCACAAATTAAACCACATTGTTATTTTAAATTCGATTAGCAATTTATGTAATAAAATAAATTTTAATGTTCAAATTCATATACATAAGAAAATTAGAGAAATAAATATTCTTTGAAAGTTGAAAATTACAATCCAAACATACATTGAGACAAAAATAAAATACCTATACGTACATTGAAATAAATTTTATATTTTTTTAATGCTAATATTTCATTCTAATTTCAAAATTATATATAACCATAATTATTCTACAAAATAATATTTAACTATTACATTACATAAAAATAAAATATAGAGCTAAACATATAGAAATATATAATACATCAATACCACTAAATATATAAAAAGTAATATATATATATATATATATATATAAAATATATATATATGTAGGGATTGGTTCCAATGCATCCACTTATTTAAAGTGAGGACGTGAAACTCATTTTTAGCCACAAGATTTGGTATATATCGTGTGTGGCCAAGATTTACTCTTTTCTTTTTATTATTTTAATTATTTAAATATTATTTTGACTCGCGACTCCGGCGTTGACCGTTGACTTCCGGCGATGACCGTTGACTTCCGTCGAAATCCGTTGACTTTCGGCGTTGACCGTTGACTTCTGGCTTTGACTCCGACGTTGACCGTTGACAACTAACCTTCCAACTAGGTTAGTTCTCTGTAGTTGCTAGGTTAGTTCTCTCTAATTGCTAGGTTAGTTCTCTGTAGTTGCTAGGTTTAGTTCTTTGTAGTTGCTAGGTTAGTTCTCTGTAATTGCTAGGTTATTTTTCTGATGTTGCTAGGTTAGTTGTCTGTAGTTACTAGGTTAGTTGTCTTTTGTTGCTAGGTTTTTTCTTTCTTGCTGCTAAGTTAGTTGTCTTTTGTTGCTAGGTTAGTTATCTTTAGCTGCTAGGTTAGTTGTGTTTTGTTGCTAGGTTAGTTGTATGTTGTTGCTAGGTTAGTTATTTGTAGCTGCTAGGTTTTTTTTTTTTTTTAACAAACAACGCCCCGAGGGGCGGGGGATTAGGCTGGATCTCCAACCTGTATATAGATCATAGCCCTAAAATGGGCCAAAACACTCAACATAGTCTCACAATCCAAACAGAAACAAAAACAGAAAATGAAAATAGTACAAGGTCTGTCATCGGGCTAACAGGTGCCCGGAATAAATGGATGGTCTAAGTAAAACAAAACCAAAAACCTAATCTACTGGAATC